CCTGCATCTAACATGCTCTGCAAGAGTAGTCTCAATTCATCATACTGTGAGGGTGGTATTCTTCTATGACGTTCTCGGGTAGGTATATTATCTGTAAGGTGTATTTTGTGTTCTACTGCCGTTGTGTAGCCCAAGTCATTCTCGTCTGATGCAAAGACTGGGGACATGCGATCCAACAACTCAAGTGCCTGTTCTCGCTGTGATCTGTCTATCGGTGACTCACTAAGGTCAAATTCTATATTTCTTCTCTTTGATGTCTCACAATACATTGATTTGGCACTCTGTCTACTTGCCATATCAAAAGTATCCTTGTTAGTTGTGCCAACACATACAGATTGTCGGTGGCACAATGCTTCATAACTTGATGGTTCACCTGCCCACGTAACAGCTTGCACTTCACCTATCACATCTCTTGGTCTAACAGTAACAGACTTTGTCGAAATATTGTAGACATGCACTGGGACAAAACATTTGTTGCCAGCACATTTCATTGTCACAGCTGTTGTGTTGAGGGACGGTGGATAGAGTCATACACACACCCTTCAGACAATGCTAACACGATCCCGAAAGCTTCACGGCACCAACGTAGCAACCAGCATAGGAGGCAGCCATCTTGTACACAGTAAAACACACTATTGACTTATGAGGGCGCTTTTGCACACAAACTGTGAGGGCGCACTAATACAAAATACATATATCCTACACATACATAGGTACTACATGTGGACCTCTCTCAGATTTGTTCATTTTGTAATGATATCTTCAATTCTCTAATTTGGGTGAATATTTTTGTCATTTTTGGTTAAAAGTGCTATTTTCAACTTCTTGTTAAAAACCGCAAGTCCAATTGCTTTAATATTACATATATAGGTCCTACATGTGGACCTTTCTCAGATTTGTTCATTTTGTAATGATATCCTTAATTCTCTAATTTTGGTGAATATTTTTGTCATTTTTGGTAAAAAGTGATGTTTTCGACTTCTTGTTAAAAACCACAAGTCCAATTGCTTTGATATTACGTATATAGGTACTACATGTGGACCACTCTCAAATTTGTTCATTTTGTAATGATATCTTTAATTCTCTAATTTTGGTGAATATTTTTGTCATTTTTGGTAAAAAGTAATATTTTCTTCTTGTTAAAAACCACAATCATTTATGGTGAAAAATGATATTTTTGAATTCTTGTTGAAAACAGCAAGTCCCATTGCATTGATACTATGCATATTGTTCATTTTCTAATGATATCTTCTGTTCTTTAATTAAAATGTGCATTGCTAACAGCGGAGCTATCTCAGCCGAGAGGCTGCTTGTTAAAACTGTTGACTGAATTAGAATTGATTGACAGGAGTCAGTCGTGTAATTTCATCTTTCTTAATTCATTTATCTAAATTTAATGTTGAATATATTTTGTTGCACTTTTTCTCAAATGAATGAATATTAAATTATTGAAAGAATGTCACTAAGTATGCATGAAAACAGTACAGTGGGAGTATCGATTGATGAATTGTGGAGGTCAATGTGTCTGCATACTGTCTGAATGTATACTTGCATCCTTGCAATTATCTTATTTATATATACACATTTTCTCGATCCAATCACTTGTAAAAGTAAAACTAAGTAAATTGGTGACAATTATTGGAACTTTCTCATTATAAACTACATTTTCAAAAAGGTCCAACATTGTTCCATATTTGGAATTCACATTTCCAAACATGGTAGGATGCAGATACTCCATTCAAAACCGCAATATTATGGTAGGCTGTAACTTATTGCGATACGGTGACGACTCGTGTATATTATATTTAATTTTTGTGTTTCAAGAAAATTAAATAAATTAGTATTATTCTACAAAAGCACCAGCAACATATTCATCAACATTTTAAAAGTTGTGGTCGTATTCTGTTAGCAATGTTTGTTGTGTCTTTGGGGCCCAATAAATAACATGGAAATCAGAAAAACATTTACATATAAAAAATCATTTAAGTTTAAAATTTTTTTAAAAATCTATACTGATATGTTTCAGGGATGCAGTGAAAAATTAATT